AAAGAGGGGCCCCCCTCCATTTATGCAGTGTGGAAGCATCACTTGACAATAAAACAATATGAATAGGGTTATTAACCAGAATTCTTCTGTGGATATATGCTGCTTTATATAGATCTAAATACAATGATATACACATATACATATACATATACATATACATATACATATACATATACATATACATATACATGACTAGAAAGAGCTGTTATGTACTTGTGTGTGTGGATTTGTAGTCTAGCATCATTTTTCAACAACAAAGCCTAATGTTAACAATGATTTTACCTTTTTATTTTATTTTAGAAGGCTTACATCAAATCTACAACCTTGGAAAGTTGTAAACATGTAAAGTAATGTGATAGGAAAAATATTTAAGGTATTTTTTTGTGTGGCTGGCAGAAGAATCAGCCGTACAAGCCAATTTAACGTGCCACCGAGTGGGTTATTAGACCGCTGGGAAAATGACTTGATTTCACTTGCTTCTGCCGGCTCAGCTGCTGTCTTAATAATCCCTGTTCTGGCCCTGAAATTTCTAATTCAATCGAATTTGGACTCCTAAAATACCTGAAAGCATGGAAATGAGTAATAGAACTTTTATTTTTTAAGTTTAGAACATTAGCAATGTTGAAACTGTTGAATGACTTTTTTCAAACAGGTTTATGCTTATACAATGGAGCTCATGTAATATTTAAACCACAGAAGATACAGTTCTTGTTTTTAAAATAATTGTGAACAGGAATTTTTTGTATAAGTCTTAGCCTTGCCATCTCTTCTAAAACATTAAAATTGGTCATTTTTATTTAAAAGTATATTACTGTTTAGCAGGTATCCTGTTACTGAATTATACTCATTTGAATTTCACCAAATCCATTTACATCTATTTTGACTATAGAGACAAAAATAATGAACATGTACAGAGTGGTCATAATACTAGGACCTAAGCAATTATTTTCTTCACTATTTTATATACTTATAAAATCTTAATATTAGTTGATTAGTTAAGATTAGTTTTTCTTGTGACCATTTGAGTAGCTCTTGAGAACTGTGTTTTTATGTTTTTCTTTTTTATCACCTTCGCCTATTTCACGCACTCACCCCAACCCCAACCCCTCCCCAGTGGTAACAAACAATCACTTCTCAACATCTGTAAGTCTTGCTGTTCTGTTCACTTTGGTTTGGTTTGTTTTTAGATACCAATTGTAATTGAAATCATATGATATTTGTCTTTCTCTGCCTGGCTTGTTTCACTTAGTGTTAAACTCTCTAGGTCCAACCATGTTGTCACAAATAGTAGGATTTCTTTCTTTTTATGGCTCAGTAATACCCTTTGCATATATGCACCACATCTTTATTGATTCATCTATTGAAGGACACTTGCATTGCTCTGTGTCTTGGCTATTGTAAATAATGCAGCAGTAAGCATAGGAGTGCAAATATCTTTTCAAATCATAGATTTTGATTTCTCCCAGTAAATTCCTAGACGTGGAATTACTTGGTTGTATAGTATTTCTATTTTTAGTTTCTTGTAGAACCTCCATCCTGCTTTCCATAGTGGCTGCACCAAATTACATTCCCACCCACAGTGTAGGAGGGCTCCCTTTTCTCCACAGCCTGGCCAACACTTGTTATTTCTTATCTTTTGGATGGTGGCCACTGACTGGTGGGAGATGCTGTCTCTGTGGTCTGGATTTGCACTTCCCTGAAAATAGTGATGTGGAGCATTCTTTTCATGTGCCTGTTAGCCATCTGTACTGGCTTTTTTGGAAAAATGTCTATTTGGGTCCTCTGCCCATTTTTAAATTGGGTTATTTGTTCTTTTGGTGTTGAGCCATATGCATTCTTTATATATTTTGGATGTTAGCCCCTTATTGGATGTATCATTTTCAAATATATTCTCCCATACCATAGTTTGCCTTTTTGTTTTGTTGATGGTTTCTTTTGCTGTACAGAAGCTTTTTAGTTTGATGTAGTCCCACTTATTTATTTTTGCTTTTGTCTTCCTTGATCAGGGATATGTATCCAGAAAAAAGTTACTCATACTTATATTTAAGTGATATTTGCTCATGTTTTCTTCTAAGAGTTTTATGATTTCATTTTTAGGTCTTTAATCCTTTTGAGTGTGGTATTAGGGAGAATCAGGGACCATAATAGCCCCAGCTTGGTCCTTTCTCAGAAATCCTTTGGCTGGCTATTCAGGGTCTTTTGTGGTTCCATACAAATTTTAGGATTATTTTCTCTAGTTCACTGAAATATGCCATTGATATTTTAACAGGGATTGCCTTGAATCTGTAAATTGCTTTCAGCAGGAGGGTGATTTTAACAATATTAATTCTACCTACCATTGAACATGGGACAGATTTCCATTTGTGTCTTTAATTTCTCTCATGGTGTCTATGGTTTTCATAGTACAGGTCTTTCACCTCCTTGGTTCGGTTCATTCCTAGATATTTTATTCTTTTTGATGAAATTTTAAAATTGTTTTTCTAATTTCTTACCTGCTAGTTTGTTGTTAGTATAAGATGACAACAGGTTTCTGTACATTGATTTTTGTATCCTGAAACTTTGCTGAATCCATTAATCAGTTCTAATAAATATTGTTCTTTTTCTTGTTCCTTTAGTTGTGAGGTCAGATCGGTTTTCTGAGGCTGTTCTGTTTCGTGAGGTTCGTTGTCCAGTAGTCTATGTACTACCCTCTTAGAGCCTCTTCTGTTGCACCCACATATTTTGCACCATTGTGTTCCTGCTTTCATTTGTTTCCATGTATTATTTGATTGCTCGCTGATCCATTGATTATTTAAAAGCCTGTTGTTTAGCCTCCATGTGTTTTTGGGTTATTTTTTGGTTTTCTTCATGTAATTACTTTCTAGTTTCATACCACTGTGGTCTGAAATGTGGTTTGAGAACTGTGTTGCTTACTGGGGTTTGGTTATACCTTGAAAAAAGAAAATTAATATCAGCTATCACTTTGCATGTGATTTTGAAATACTTTGTTTGGTATTTAGAACAACCGTGTAAGGAAATCGGTGCTATCCCCATTTTACAAGCACAGTCTCAGAAATTCAGATTTGTCCATTTACATGGCAAAGAAGTGACTGAATGATACTTAATAGCAAATATATCAGAGACCATAGTCTGGGCTCTTCCTTCATCATGCTCGACATTTTAGTTACACTCTCATTTTCAAGATAAATTCAGGTATCTTGTTTTGATATCTTTGGAATCTTGACAGCTTTTAGTCAAAATAAATTTTAAGATGTATTAGTTAGCAATATGATTTTTAAATAAAGTACCCTTTTAAAAAAATTTAGCTTATTACTTCATCAGTCATATTGAATATGAATGCCAGGTACTCTGATGGTCTAGGAGTCTCCTCTGCTAGACTGAACTCCCAACACCTGGTGTAAAGGTGTGATCTTGGGTGTTAGTAACTATAAGAAGGGAGGGAAACATTTGTTGAGCCACGGCTGCTTGAATGCTTTGGTTTTTCTTAATGGAGCTTTGAACACTCCTAGACCTTTCCATCCAGAAAGGGAGCAAAGAATAATGAAGGAGGCCCTTGAGGCGTCAGCCGATCGGCATTGGATCGGTGGCCCCTGCTTGTGAAAGGAAGACGTTGCTTCTCTATTAAATGGCATGTTTTCCTACTGGAAAACAAGGCTGCTTTGTCCAGTTTGCTATTGACCGATTCCGAAGTAAATGTTAAAGGTATTAAAGTATGTAAGATTTAGATTATCCAAATATTTTCATAACATATCTAAAGCTTTACATATTAAATCTTGTATTTGGATAAAATATAACCTACATGCTACTTTTCAGAAAACTGTGACAGCCAGAAAAATAAAGTGTATCAGATTCCTTGTGTAATAAGCTAACTTTTGGATGACTGTAAAATTTCTAGCTCCATTTTATGTCTTAAGAGAAAACAGCGCTTATTTAATTTGCAAAGAGAGTTCATAGAATTAGAAATCAACCATGTATTTTCTTAATCGGCAGTAAAATGTGATACTGGTCTCCTAATAGCATGTGGAATTCTTTTACCATTGTACATTTTGGATAAAAATATACAGAAATAATAATCTCTTTTGTAATTACTCGAGTGAAAAGGAGATGCTTTGTAAGATAAGGATTTTCTTCTTGAATGAACAAAGGTCCTCTGAAATGTGTGGATTCTCTGTTAGATATAGCATATATAATTTTTCAGTCAGTTACATTATGTTATGCTGCTTCAGACCATTCCAAATGGCTTTAAAGACATCATTTACTAGATGTATGTCAGCATATATAGAAGACTTTGTAACCCAATGGAAAATTATGTATTTAGATAAAAACTAGTATAGAGTCTGACACAAATATCAAACAGCCAGTCTGTCTCTTTCTCTTTGTTACATTTTTTTGAAGGAGAAAAGTATGTAATTTATTTTTAATTCAAGCTATAAAGTTATCTGAAGTTGAATCTGTAAAGTATATCAGTACATAATAATTTTGTATTTCTTTAGAGGCAGCAGCCATCTTTCCAATAGCATTGTTAAAAAAAATTTTTTTAAAGCCCAAAAGACCTCTCAAGTTTGAGCTCTCCTAAGAATTGGATTCTTAGAAAAGTGCAGCTTAGTACTAACCACATCTGATTATTTTGTTCATTTTTTTTTTTCTGTGTGCATCAGGAAAACTATCTGCTTTAAGGACATGTCTGGCACTCCAGATTAAAATGCTTTTTCTATTTCAAGTAAATCGAACTAGCCAATATGGTGTATTTATACATCAGAGCTAGGATTACAATGGCGGCATTCATTTTTAAGACTGTCTTATTCCTTGGTGATTTAGCACTGCTGTAAGGCGATCGAAGGAGTGGGCTTTGGAGGGAGAACTGCATTTCAGTCCTGTCTCTAATACTTGGCTGACTACGACCTTGGTCGTTAGTTTTGGTAATAACCTTTTAGATATAATATGTATGTCCATTTTAGGAGAGAGAGTATCTCACCATGGTCTTCATCTGCTCTTTACAGATCAGTGCACTGTCACCAGGACGTACCTGTTCCTTCACAAGTTCTGGTTCTTCAGTGCTGCCTACTATTTTGGTAACTGGGCCTTTCTTGGGGTAAGTTCATGTATCCTGGGGATGATTTGGTCCTCAGTGGTCCATCCGTACCACAGTAATTCTATTGGATTTTAAGTTCATTACTTTCTGAGTGATTTTAGATTTGATAATAACATACAGCTTATTCAAATTTGCAGGTCTTCTTGATTGGATTAATTGTATCCTGTTGTAAAGGGAAGAAGTCAGTGATTGAAGGAGTGGATGATGATGATTCAGACATAAGTGATGATGAGCCCTCTGTCTATTCCATCTGACAGTGTTCTTAAAGGTTTTGTGAAGCTGAATATCTGTTAATGCATTTTTTAAAAAGTGTTTAACTTAGGAAGAACTGACTAGCTTTCCTCAAAAATGGGAGCATGGCTATTAAAAAAACTATATTTTCATGTTTTCTGACATTACATTATTGTATCATAGATTAACATTTTACATTGCTGTAATAATACTATGTAAATACAAAACTACCAGCTTTGTGAGGGAATGTTGGTGAAAATTTTTTTCTCTAGTGTATAATATGAATTGATTAAAAATCTTCCAAAATTAATATTCCAATCTTTGTCGCTTTTTAAAAACATAATAAATCACTTGTTTCTGTGCCTTTGGGTCTCCAGAGTAATGTGCAATTTTAAATTGTCTATATCTGATTGTCTGAAAATAATATTCGCAATACAGCTGATGAATGCGTGACACCAGCAGGGTGTCTGAGAATCCAACTCAGTTCTGACAGAGAGAGACCAGACTCCCGGGGTTAAGGATTCTGTCCTGTAAGGCTGCCTTCCACGCCCCACTAGAGGTGCCAACTGCAAGCCCTCCAAATTCCCGTGCTTCTGACCAATCAGCTATGAATTTGGAGTTCCCACAACCTCCCCCTTAGATTCTGTTTATTTGCTAGAGTGGTTCACAGATCTCAGGAAAACACGTTTACCAATTTAATAATGGAGACAAGTTAACAGCCGATGAAGGGATACAGAGGGCAAGTCCCAAATAAAGGAGCTTCTGTCCTGGTGGAGCTTGGGGCCAGGCATGTGGATGCATTCTGGTTCCCCAAGCCTGGAAGTTCAGAGAAGCAGGGCGCAGGAGAGAGAGATACTCTTCCCAGGGGTTTTTGTGAGGGCTTTATTGCAGAGCTAAATCCTTGGCCATTTTCTGACCCAGCCTCCAGCCCCCGCCCTTGGGAGGATCCAAAGGTCTCATTAACATGACAAGACTCCCATTTCACCTTTAAGGCTCTGGAGTGTTTTCAGGAACTGTGGTTGAAGACCAGGTAGACCTGGGATATATATGTTTAGTCATCTGAATGACCAGGTTTATATTTCTTACAACTCATATAGCACCTGTAAAAGAGAAGTTACGACTTTAAATTGGAACATGCTAAAAATTGAACTCATTTTTCTGGGCATACCAAGTCTCCTCCTGTATTCACTTGTGACAGATGGCGTCAGCATTTACCTGATTGCCAAAACCAAATGTCAGGCAGGAGTCCTTACCTCCTGTGTATACCTAACTCAGCAGCCAATCAAGGCACCTCTTAACTATCTTTCCATTTGTCCCTTCTCCATTCATAACTGCCACTCACTGCAGTGTAGACTGAACTGTCACCCCCACTCCAATTCTTTTGGTGAAATCCTAACCCCCTGTTTACCTGAAAATATGATTATGTTGTAGATAGGGCCTTTAAGAGGTAATGATAAAACAGGGCCCGGAAGTGGGGTCCTGATAAGACTAATGCCCTTCTGAGGTGCTTATTGTCAGGCACGTGGATACACAGAGAAAAGACCAGGTGAGGACATGGTGGGCAGGAAGCCATCCTCAAGCCAAGGAGAGAGGCCTCGGGAGCTCAGCCCTGTCAGCACCTTGATCTTGGACTTCTAGCCCCAGAACTGTGAGAACACAGATTTCTGTTGCTTGAGCCACTCAGTTTGTGGTACTAGAGCAGCCTGAGGAGAATACACACTGATTCTGGAACTTCCTCACTGGGCTTTATGCCAAGTCCCGATTCCTTTCGATTTTTCCTCAACAATGAAAATACAAGTCAAGACGTTTCATATCTTTGCTGTGAAACGCTTTCAGTTATTGTAGAATTAAACCCATTACTGGTTCTTTGTTGTATAAAGCCTTTCCTGTGTGCTGCTTCCCTGACTATCCAGCTTTCCCTGACTTCCTCACACTGTTCATATGAGCCAAGCTAACACGTCCCACCACTTCCCAAACGGCTCTGACTTCTCATATCCCCGCTCTGTGTTGAACGGTTCCTTCTGCCTGTGATGCCCTTTTTGTCCGTCTCCTAGAAATCCTTATTGTTCAAATCTCAATGTTACTTCCTCAGGGAACCTTCCCCTACGTCTCCTAGACACACGGCGGGGCTGTCTTTCCCTTACACGTGGCACCCTGTGCAGTGTGTGGTGTTTGATTGCTTTCATGTCTGCCTCCTCTGGACAGCAAGCCCTTCAACACATCTCTGTTTTTTAACTTCATTCCTGGTGCCTAGAACAGCTCTGTGCACACAGAAAGCTCTCAGTTGACAGGTGAATTTGCTAGTAAGAAACTTTACGTCTGTGTACATGGTTTAAGCCTATACAAACTGCATTTAGATTAAGGGAAGTATATATTTAGCCTGTTTTTAAGATTGATTTTACTACCTAGACATGTCATATTTGTCTTGAATATGATGTGTACATTCCATTACTTAATGGGAATTTTTTTTTCTGTCAGATCAACCTCTCAGCTTTTCATTTTGCTGGTTGTATATATTTTTTTCTAACCAAGTTTTTCTTTTTGTTTTTTCCCTCCCAGTCATATGGAATGACTAGATTTTCATGAAGCTGATTTCAGTGCTGTGACTTCCACTAATGAAGAACATACTTCCTTTGAAGTTCTCCGCAAGTGCCTAATTTAGAGATGATCCTGAGTAATGGCTTTCTAAAAGATCAAGACCCCATGTTCCACGCACACTTCAGACAAGTGCATGCTCACCCCGCCATGCAACAAGGTCCTGTGAAACGAGCACCCTTGGAACTGGCTTCTGTCTTAGTGCTGCTGAACCAAGGGAATGAAAATGCATGTGGTGTTTTTTAAAAAAAGAAAAAGGAGCTCCAGGAAAACAAATAGTGTAAGAAAAGAATGTTTTCAGAGAATACGACTGAGCTCTTCAGTGAATTCTGCATACACAGTTACAGTGATACACTAATTTAGAATTAATCCTTAGAGCACGGTAGACACTGATTAAAGCACAGAATGTAAATATCTACATGGACAATATAAAAAGACAGTTGATAAAAATTGGAAGATTGAAGGAGGGGGTGAAAAAGACCTAAGGGGAATGGGTATTAGTACCCTTACTTTGTGGGGAAAGGTAATGAGCATAGTAAAGTCAAGAAGGTAAAGGTGACCGATAGACCATCAAAAATAATCATACAACAATGTTGGGAGATGGGGAGCAAAGGGAAGCAAAAAACTCAAGCAACTGAGATGCCCTTTTATCATAGGAAGTCAGTAGATACTCTAAATAGATAGAAATAGCAATATATGAAAGTGTAACAAAGAAAAAAGATCAGGTAATTAAAGAAGAAATTTTATCAGAAGATAAAAAATTCATGGCAATTATACATAAACATATCTTCAAATTTCCTGGCAGCCAAGACAAAAAGGAGATGATGGATGACGAAGTTTTTACAGCTGATAAAAGAAAGCACTCAAATTTGCCTGAAGATACTTTTTCTGGCACTAAAATTTAGAAGGAAGTTACACTGAAAGCTTCTATATAAAGAATGTTAACAATGGAAAAATGTCTCTAAAATTTAAGTAGGAAGGCACATGAAGGAGATGGAATTTAGGATCTCCTCGAGGAAATCTTGTTGGGTCCCAAAGCCTCAAAATTAATAATTTTTTTTTGTGTATATCATTTATTCATTCTACTCAGCACATATCCAAGTTCCTACATATCCCAGGCATTGGATGGCAGCTAGTGATTTTCTAGTATTGAAGAAGATAGTCCCCATCCTTTCAGAACTTGACCTAGGAATCTATAGCTGAGTGACCATGGCAGCAACTGGACCTTATCGGTACCTACTAAGATTGTAGGTGTCTGATGTCATGAATACACTTTAAAAAAATCAGTTTATCAAGTTAAAGTTACAATGGAAGATAATTTCAGTAACTGGAATGCTCACATCTTCATCAACACATCCTCTCTCACATCATGATCATGAGCCTACTTGAGCATGGCCTTGAAGTGTTGTAATATGGGCAGCTGTGAGGGGCATTGCAGGCATTTGGTGATACTTAATTACAGACCCACCTTTCTTCAGCACAGACCACCTTGAAAGTGACCGTATGGCTCAAGTTCCCCAGACTGGGTTGTGTTGCCCTGGACATACTCCTAGGCACATACCCACTGTGTTTAACTCAATTCCAGTTGTTGGTTTAACTCAATTCCAGTTTAGCAGATTTGTACATTTAGATTATGATACACTCTGTTCTGGGAATATTTCTCCACACCCACGTTTTTGATTTAATAAGTTTTATTGAGGGCTATCAGATATCCCTAGTTAGCAAATTCTTGGGAAGCACTTCTAGAACCACCCATAATCTTCAACTGTGATTTCACAGGGAAAGTGAAAACTTCCAGAACAAAGCCAAGAGGCAAATACTAAGTCATAATTTAGGGATAACATGTCTGTGGAGAACTAAACAGCCCATGTGGTCAGGTGTATGCAGCCTTCCGCGTCATTCCCCCATTGAGTCATACCTACTTCAGCTCTGCTGAAGTTACTGGATGGCACTCAAATCAAGGTTGAGCTCTTGGACAAGTGTACTGTCTGTACAAACACATTTTTGATCGATAGAGGAGCAGGCAACAAAGTCAATGCCTGAAGAAACGCGAGGGCACCTGGAGCTGTCTCACTTCCATATCAAGAGCCAGGGCATTTGCAAGCCTGGACAATGTGTCTGAAAAAAAATTTTTTTTTTATTTGTACAAAGTTCATTCAGTGACTATCCAACTAGTAGCTACCACATGCCAGAAACTGTACTGGACCTTAATTCTATTCTGTAATGAAAAGCTCCATCAAATTCGATAATGTCTCGCCGGTTCCAGTCCTACTTTCTTTTATATTTATCTGAAGCTTTTTAAAGGCCTTGTGTGTGTGTGTGAATAGTATACATGCACAAAAAAAAAAAAACAACTGATGGAAGACCAGTCTGCCCAGTAAAAGAATAAGGAAAATGTAAGTTTGTTCATGGTGTATGCAATAACTCAAATGTTGACAAAACCGTAATGAAGGCTGAAGACTTCTGTAATTCAGAGATTTAGGGATTTGTTAACTCAATATTTGAGTGCCTACATGTATCAGAAATGGCAATCAACTGGGGACTCCTAAACAAAGCAGTGCCTGTGCTCAAAAGGGATTCAGAAGCCATCGGGCAAATAAATTTAAAAATAGAAAATTATAACATGCTATAAAAGAGGTACTACAAGATACAGTGAAGCTGAGTGGTGGCTTCTTAAGCTTAGGGAAAGTCTAAGACTCTTGAGATAAGCAAATG